AAACCAATGATTATAAACCTCACTGGGAGTAAGATAGTCGTTGGGCATGATATGTATCATGTAATTAAGTAATGTTGTAAATTATTATAATTTTTAAGAGTGTTGAATGGCTTTAGGTAAAGATTCACCGTGTAAAAAAATTTAACGTATTTGTTCAACGTAATGTTAAACGTAAAATTTCAAATTTCAAAAAGCAAAATTCTAATCCTATATTTTAAGTATAGAATAGGATAAAATATAAAATTTTGATCGACTTTTAATAATTTTTATTATAAGGAAATAATTTTTCATCGTGTGTGTTAAAAAGATTTTTATTAATATGTCATTAATTTTGTGAATATATTGTTGGGTCACAGGGTGTGCATGTGCAATGTTAGGACTCTGTTTTTATTCAATATTGAAATATAAAATTATATTTTTGATTTCCTCTTTGATGAGTCCAAGTAAAATTTTTGTATTATCCTTCAAGAGTTATATTTTCAAGGATTACTTAATTTCCGCCATTTAAATGGCTTTAAGTAAAGATTCACTGTAAAAAAATGAAACACATTTGTTTAAAACTAAATTTTTAAAAGCTGAAAGCAGAATGGACTTCCAGCATGAAATAGAAAATTATCTGTTATATTTTTAATTGTTGAGCCCAAGGACTATCTGTATTATTTTTAAAGAGTTATATTTTCAAAGATGAATTGATTTTTCTATGGTATTATTTCTCCCATCACAATTATAGAGCACATCCTCGCTAAACACTACAGATCTTTGTAATCAATAACACTTTATCTTGATGTGCTATAAATCACTTGAAATGTCGACAGCTTTTTTCTTATATATGAGCGCTTGCATGAAAAATGTCTTGCTAAAATCTACCCTCAAAACGTAGATAGCTTTCGTCTCATGGTAAAGTATTTGAATTAAAAAAAAGAAGTTGAAAAATCACCCACAAAATGTCGATAGCTTTCGTCTCATATAAAAGCATTTAGATGTAAATAAATTCCAAGATTCATATTTGTGCATGGTCCCATACTACAAGAACTTTAATCCATAATCGTAATATTTTATAAAGTTGTGATCAAATCATTTGTTTATGTAGCCATTATTCTTGAAGGTTTTAATAACTTCAATAAATGCATTAGAGAAATTATGCCCAAATTATTGGATCAACAATTCAATACAAATATCTAATTCAATATTGTGCATTTTAAACATCTTGATTGATTTAGAGCAAAAAAATTAAATTATTTTATATAATAAATTAGATTCATTTTAGAATACTTAATTTATTTTTTAAAGATTGAATAAAATATAGTCATGCTCTAAAGACGCAAAATGTATTTTTAAATTTGTGACGCATAATTTAATTTTATTTATTTAAAAATTTTACAAAATAAATTGTAATAAATCATATACAATGAAAAAAGGATTACTTGTACTTTTAGCGCTATAATTGACAGAAGGTAAAAATTATAAATAAATCTTGAATATCATTTTTGTGAACTTTTCAGAGTGTTTTTTGTAAAACTTGGAATACATAAACCTAATTTAAAGCATCCTAAATATCTATTAGCTGACCTATAAGTATGAAGTAGCATGGAAATTTTCGATAGTAAGCACAACTCGATAAAACGTAAACAATGAATTTCGGGAATAGCGTGCAATATTATTTAATTCTGCACACAGTCCCTTATTCAGTAGAAAAAAAAATTTTAATTGGAATATTTTATTGGTTTGCATTGATATTAGCGACACTTACAAAGTTTGCAATAACAGCACAATAGGAAACTCGTCAATAGCTTTTAAATGATGACGATAATGGTGACAATTTTAACACCGTTTATAATTAAAATCAACTTCAATATAAACACAAGTTATATCCAAACAAAGCCATACAACTCAAAAAATGTGTTAGACTCGATGAGCTGCAACCATGACAAAAAATCTTGACATTCATAATTGTGAAAATCGACATGAAAGTCGTTGTGTTACTTACGAATGAACGAAAGCTTAAACAAATTTCTGAAGTTGCTCCAAAAGTCAGAAATTGATAGTACGATAGTTACTGCTTGTTCTAACTTCATAAATCTTAGAAAACGATTTTAATTACTCATCATCTCCAGAAGATAAAAAAACATATCACACAACAACATACATGTAAAAAATTTTAATCCTAATATAACTGTCTTGTTGTCTTGTGTAAAGTGATACTCGATATGTATGCACCATCTGATTCGATGCTTGTATCTATCGTTTTGAACTTGTAAAATCGCCTATATTAATTCAAGATGTTTATGTACTGTTTAAAATAACTCTTCATTTGTCACAAAAAATTGCTTATCATCTGGAAATGTTCGTCAATCAATAAATTCAGATTTTTTAACATAACTTTGTTTTGCACCTAATATGCAAAATAAAATTTATGATTATAGTAAAAAATATCTAGGCCAAAACGTGCCTTTTTGTGTTTGATAAAAAATCATCTTCATTACAACAACTATTATTCAGTATGTATTGCTGCAATTTCTAATTCATGCCTACTCATAATCCGAAAAACATATAAATTCACAAAGTTTATTATTCTCAAACATAACGGAGCAATATGTAGAATAAATTTTAGATAATGATTAAATATAAATTTTCTACATATCACATGATTAATAGTAGCATACAAGGAGATTTTTCCACTTTCCTTAGAGTCACTGATAAAAATTATGCTTACTACTTATCGATAAAGTTAGGAGTAAGATTGACTCCATCATGTATCAAGTACATGTGTAACTGGGATAGAGTTACTGCACTTCCCAACTATGTCAAATGTGTAATAACCAGGAGTCTTAGAGGAAGAATTCCTGTCAGAGAGAGACCCATACTAGACCCTTTTGATAGCAGAGTGGACTATATCACCATGGCTACTGAAGGTAAGGATGTTAGTAAAGAAACTCCTGCAACTCAATCCATCAAAATGAATCCCAAGAAAGGAAGAAAATATGCATTTCTGACAGGAAAGTAACGAGCTGGAGGACAGAACCCTCTTATTTGTGATGCAAGTACATCAATTGCCTAATAAAACTCATCAGAGTATCATTTTCTTATAATTCCAATTAATTAAATAATGGTATGTTCAAAATCTCACATACACAAGTAGTAGCATAAAAGGAAGAAAAAAAAAGAGAAAAAAATAATCTGACTGTATTGTATGATACAAATTAATCACATAGATTTTGTTAGACCTGATACATTAAGTTAACTTATCAATGCTTATAAATGCATCTCAGGACTTGATAAAATAATGAACCCAAGATTAAATACATGCAGAAAACGTAAATACCATTTAATTGGATCATTAATGGACGAAAATTATTTTTATGTATTAATTAAGTTATTGGATGTCTTTTGATTAAAGACAAATATGGCTCAATGTGCCATAGGTTTGTTATATCAGTCTTATTATGAGATGTTACATTCATTCCTAATATTACGTGGTAATGTCATAATTTATAAAGATGATAACAATACAGGGAGGTTATATCCCAAATTCTTCGACAAACACACTAATGACAGACAGCTGACGAAATTCCTTGTCTATGAAAACTAACTGTCTTTCATTATACTTTGAAACCAAACAAGCTACAGATATAAAGATAATAAAAGTTCAGAAATAATTATGGGGCTAATATTTAACGATAATGTATCTATAAATCGTCGCATTCCATACGTACACAAAATTATATTAACCACGACCATGAATATGTATGGTGAGCTGTAGTCTACTGAAGTCAGTAAATCTAACTTCAATATAATGAAACTAACGATGACGTACTTATTGGTATCTCTTTAACCAACGATGGTATGAGGCATGTTAAATACTCGGCGTGCAATATTTTTAACTGTGCATGTAACAAATGATTTCCCATTTTTAATTGAAATGCGAATCTGGGATGATGGTAACGCTCTTTCACATTCACTCAAAATACACAACTTTGAAAGTTGAGGTGTTACTGAGAATTAAATATGTCATCTGAGAACACGATAATGAATAGGATAACGATATTTCTGTGGCTGAAAATATACTAAATTAACAACCGTTTAAATGAGTTATTATGTATGTTATACGGCAATACTCTAAAACCTAAAATTATCATTTCTTCAAAGCTTCATATTACTAAATTTGTATACCTGTCTCTTCGTGGATTGCACAAATGCAAAAATTTTACATGATTTCAGAATTAAAAAAAACACATTTCTGAAATTATTCCCTAATACAGGTCTTTTATACAATTTAATTTAAAATTATTCTGAAGATTTTAGATCACGTATATGTGGATGTGAGCAAAAATTTTTTTTAAATTATTTATAACAGAGTATGTATGCAAAAAAAAAGTTGTTTATATAAATTAATATAAAATTATAATTTTTTAATCCTGAAAAGGCCGTCAGCATGACGGCGAAATATTGATTATATGTACCGATTATTACTTAAATAAATAGCCGTGCTCAAAAATACTGAGTTTTAAACCTTACTATAATTAAAGTATACATGCTTTGTAAACTAATATTTTGTAAAATATCGACTTAGTACATTCATTTAGGCGCTATTTTAAGTATACTATATAAATCTCAACATACTCAATAAAAAATTGAATAGTATACATCTTTTTAAAAAATTTGCAGTAACAATGAACAGAGTGTGTACGATTTCTTATGTTTTAACAAAAAAAAAAAAATAAATAAATTAAAAAAAATGTTTGAAAATTTAAGTTGTTATGTAGCATGCGTAGAAATCATAGTTGCAAAATAATACATGCTTCCTAATGATTTAACCAAATCGTTTAGCTAAATTTTATTTTTGGCTAAAATTGTTTGATTGAAATCATTAGCACATCTTTATTATTTTTGAATGTTTCAAATAAATTCGGTCGTTATAAAAAAGAAAAATCCATTAATTAAATTATTAAGTTTTTTGGTAAAATATTTGAAACATATCAAAATTTCTAATGATCCTAACTTTCAGTTAAATAAATTAGATCAATCACTTCTCACACCTACACTCACTTTGTAATTTCAAAATGAACTATCCTTAAAATTTAATACCTGTTGGCTATCATTTTTTCGAAGACTTCGGTATTCTTGTTGAGATGCAATTTATTGACAAATAGTGTATCTATGTTGTGAAAATGTAACTGCATGATGCTTAAGATCTTATTTTACAGTTCGTTTCATGGATTACATCTTCCAATTATACTTCAGTTGAGATCTCATCACTGTTCACGAAATAGGGCCATCACTCATCTCTTCTTGTGTTTTGTGTTCTAAAAATTTTTACGTTTGTATTAATATACTCAAATAAACTTAAAAAATTAGAAATACATTCTATTAAAAAATAAAGTCCTGAGATGAAAGAGCCATTTACTTCTCAGTACCTTAGTTTAACTTATTTATACAGTTTTAGTTGTTTTTGCAAATATTGTTTTTCTTTAAATTAAAAAATAAGCCCAGCTAAGACAACTTTATTTAGATGAAAGAAAAAATAATTCAATAAGGACATTATTATAATTATATAATTTAAATTAGCAATGAGTAGAAGTAGGAAGGATTATAATAGAAATGGTGCATTTTATCTAGTAGAGTGTAAAACAATCGAAGAATTAGTAATTTTGTGTGAAAAAAACTGACTCATTTACTGTATATAAAAAATTAATATTATAGTTTAAATGTTCAATTTGAAAGGAATATACTGTTTGTCCTCTTTTTTTTCTTCATCTATTTGAACTGTACATTTTGTGTTACAATACCAAGAAAAACGAATTTTAGCTAAAGTCATAATACTTTGATTAAAATTTACGTAAATGATCACAAAATTATTAAATGTATGTCATTTGGAAAATAATAAATATAAAAATCTAAAAAAATATTGGACACCCGCACTGAAAGTTTGTGTTTTCTGTACAACTTAATTTTACAGTTCTAAAGCTCAGTAAACACACAAACTTGAATGCATCAAACTTCGAATTTTCTAATTTTTTGTGCTTACAAACATTTGTTAATTAAGACTAAAAATGCGAAAACTTATAAATCAATATAAAAAAAAAATTAGTCAACAGTTCAAACGTTATTAATTCGACAATAATAATTATTTATGACATCTCATATTTCTACAAAATAGTGATAGTTCCTTGACTTTCCATAGCTTTAGTGAATAATTCTACAGGTCGAAAATATAAAAAATAATTAAATGTATGATGGTTAAATATGTATGATTACATAATATATAATTAATAAATATGTAATTACACAGTTAATGACACGTCTATAATCATGTCATGGATGTCAAAATCTATACTATTTTTCGAACATGCCCTTGAAAAATGTTCATTAGCTCTGCTATAAAAAATGGTTGGAAAAAATTTAATAAATTTTCTAACTACATCAATGCCAAACTAAATGTTCATTTAGTTGCCATGATGAAGTTAGTTATACTTCATAAATTTCGTTACTGCCGTTACAATAAAAATTTTTAATTTTTTAGTCTTATTTGATTAAAAATTTGTCAAACATACTTTAGTTGGATTAACCAAATTTTTTTCGTGTATAAGATTTCTCAGTGGTCTAATTTTTGTATATTTTGATTTAATTTTCATCTCTTTTATATTTTTAAAGCTATTAACTGCAGAAGCAGTATCGATATCTGATAACACAATAATTTTCAATTTATCTTAATTCTTCCACAGTAATTTACATTTATTTGTACACTTTTAAAAAAATATTTGGTATAATGTGGCTTACATTTTCTGCTTATATATTTTACTATGAATATTAACTTACCTGTGATTGACGAGGTGTGTAAACAATAGACCGTGCCTTATTTTCATTCTCATTCTTAATTGATTCATGGGCGTTAATTTGTTGGAGTATGATTCTGAACAGATCTGAAAAATAATCATTGATATGTGTTATCATATGCAAAGAAATGAATAGATTTGGAGTTGGTACATATGTATGTACGTAACAAACAAATAAATAAAGTAAATCAACTCTTCAAAAAAACTCTAGAATTAATCTTATCTACTCATTTAATTATTAAATTTCTGTGTTTATTAAAAAAGCGAATTAGGTTAAATTTATTGTTAGCGATGTTAGTTTATTCATAATATTGATTTATTGTACAGTGCTGAATTTTTTAACCAAGTTTGCCATTTTGTACACTCAGTATTCCAGTTTCCAGAAAATTTATTTGAAAATTGATTTCGTCACTTTTAATTCAATATAATTGTAAGTTATTTTTATTTAATAATTAATTCAGCGTGGATTTACCAAAATGCTAAAGAATAGTAACGTAACACAAATAATACAAAAGTATCATTTGAGATCCACGTGGTAGTGCAACGCTAATTTTAAATGTACTTCTAAATTCTAAACCTGAAACTTTACACATTTATCGAATAATACTGTACGAAAATATTTTGTATATTTATTTATTTATTTTATTTAAAAAATTTGGATTGTATATTTGTGATTGAACTCGTGATGGTTCATACGTATTGAGGTTATGATTTAACCTAAACAGACAAAGACATCAATCAAGTTTCAACAAAAAAAAACCATTTTATTACATGGTCTGACAGATATTTCTTGATGCTGTGATGATTATTAACTAAATCATAATTAAAAGTTAAAAAATAAATCATACAACAAACAAGATACCTCATCACTAACCTTTTCAAGACATCCAAAATGATTAAATACAAGTTGCTTAATAATGAATGTTTGTTGTGTGCGTTTAAACAAAAATTTATAAAACTGTGCAACTTTAAATGCAATATACTACATTTATGGACTGAGTGTCATGATGCCCAAAAGTAAAATGGCGAAGAAAAATGAATCCACTGCTTACTCGAGTCTCGTTTCTCGTTTGAATAATCAAAGGGGACTAGGGGACAAAGGGAGGGAAGATAAACCCACACACATGCAAGTTTAACGTTCACATCTTCGCATATTCGCTCGGTAAATTGCCGGTAATGCCGGTGCTGCCCGCATTTCACCGGAAATTTTATGTTAATCAAATAGAGTGAAATCAGCAATACCAGGCCATACTAAGTAAAGTGGCTGCTACGATGCAAGCTCTATAGGATGTATAAAACTTAAATAAAAACGTGTGCCAGTTTTCCGATTTTCCCTCCCAAACAACTTACATTACGTATAGTAAATAGAGTTTTAATAAATCAACAGATATTGACTAAGAGCTCTTCTGAATTAATAACACCTGAACTGCGGGAATTCAAATTAGTTAAAAAAAAGTATCTAATACGAATATTATTTAAAATTCACGAATACAAAATGATGTGTAGATAAAATCAATAGATGTACAATTGATATTGAGTAACAACTGAGATTGAAAATTTTTTTTAAACTTCATGTACTCACAAATATTCTACAAGTAGTAAGAAATATTGTTTCCTTTTTTTTTTGAAAATTCAAATTTCGCGGCAAAAATATTTACCCATTAGGTGCGGATAACGTAGATTGCAGTTTAATGGTCGGCAAACAAGTTATGAAAATTTTTTACAATTTATTGTGATGAAAGAGAAAAATTTTCCAAGGCCCACTGAAATAAGCGATGTGATATAGCTGATAAACAGTCTGCTGACAGTTTAATGTCTGCAAAATGTGTGACAAGAAAAACAAGGATTTCACAACAAACAAGACTTTTTTAGGTAAACACTCGCGCCAAAAAATACATTCGTTATTTACTCGTGGTGGGTATACATGCATAAGTACACACACTCTTGGGACATCTTTTTTTTTACTTTTCATCATCTCTGTTCCATGTCTATCTTCTGATCATTTCAATGTATCATCATATTTATCTAAACCTACTATCTTGTCAATTTTCTCTAACCTGGGGTCCAATTTTACTTCATCTGTAAGACTTTTTTGTTAAACTGAGGGGTTAAGGTTAGGAAGTGAACCAAAAGTATTATTTTATTAAAACAACTTATTAGCCATGCAACACTTAAATTTTAAGATTACTGTCTGAATGTTTTTGAAGAACTTATTGTGTTTCATGAGGAAATTTCTCATCTTTTTCAGTGATTAGTGTATTTAGACACCATTAATTCATAGGTCAATTTAATTTTGTGTCAGATGTACCTACACAATTTTAAAGGTATTCATATCACTCAGTATAATAGAGTTTTTAAGTAATAACTTTGTTGCATGGTAAAAACGTAATTATTATGTAAAAATCAATCATAAACTTACATTCATGCCTGTTTCGTAATTTTATTATTTTTATTTTGAGTAAAAAATAGCATTTGTAGCTCTATGCTGCCAATGATCCACATTTTTTCTCTATGTTTATGTGGACACTATATCAAGCCACTATTAATTATGCTACACCGTTCTGTAAATAAATTTGGAATTGATATTGATAGAATATAAGAATTTTAAATTGCAGATAATTAATTGGTTCAAAATGGAGTTGAACGGAATGGGCATGGGTATAGGGGTTGGTGTTGCCGTTGGTTCATCACCACCCCCCACAGCAGCAAGTACAGCCAATCCTAAGAAAAAAAGACGCACAAATGCCAACACAGCTCAAGCAGCACAACGAACACCTGCCATGCAAGACTTTGTACCTCCACCTCTTTCTGGATTCGGAGACACAGTGGTTGCCAGCAATCCCTTTGACGACACTCCTCAGCCTGGTTTGAATTCAACCATGTATAACGGACCACAACAGATGCACTCACATCATCCTCATCACATGGGTAATCCACAAATGCGTGGAATGAACCCCATGTCAGGTGGAAACATGAATCCCATGATGCCTCATATGGGCAATGTCAATCCAATGAACAATGCATCAATGAGCAATCACATGAGCCATATGGGAAACATGCCCAATGCCAATCATGCAATGAATCCTAATATGAATCCCATGAGTAATATGAGGCCAAATATTTCTCAAGTTTCGATGGGATCCATGAACAATCACATGAACATGAATCACATGATGAATTCTCAAATGAGCGGTCCTCCGATGAATAGTCCCATCAACGGGATGAGCCACAACTTGGGAAGTCCGATGGGTGGTCCAATAGGATCGCCTATAAACAACATGAGTCCAAACCACATGGCCAATAGTGGTTTGAACATTCCAGCAATGAACGCGGCTAATACAGCTCTTCCACATAACGCACCACAACCTCATCCCAATCACATGAATCCAATACGCACTGGTGGCTTAAACAGACCTCACAACATGCCTCTCGCCAATATGAATTCAGGAGTACCTAACGCCATGCTAGGCAACGATCAAATGAACAATTTGAACATGATGAGGTCACAAATAACGAACATGCCCAATGTCAACATGAATCAGCGTAATCAAATGGGACACATGGGCAATCCAATGGGAAATAATATGACGAACAATATGGGCGTCAAGTCACCTAGTCATGGAATGAACATGGGCAGTACGATGCCTCAGCACGGATTGCAAGGGCCTGCACTAGGACCCAAGCCTATACCAGAATCCACAGGAAAAGTGTATCCCCCTGACCAACCCATGATATTCAACCAACAAAATCCAAACGCTCCTCCGATCTCGCCATGTGGAATCTGCCATAAAGAATGCCATGCAAACGACCAAGCGATAATTTGCGAGTCTGGCTGTAATTTTTGGTATCATCGGCGATGCGTGGGCCTAACAGAACAGGCCTACAATTTGCTGATGAAAGAATATTGTGCCGAATGGGCATGCGACAGGTGCTTACAGTCAAAAAATATATCACTAGTTAAGTTCAAACCTTAAAATGCAATGCTCAAGGAATCGTCGATAAAAGTATGTTCTATATGCACGAGTAGTTTTTTTAATTGTCTATATTTTTATCAAATCATGGACGAACCGTTGTAGCAACATACGTTTTTATGTCATTTCAAAAGGCAAGTTGATACATTTGTCAACAATCCATCTTTACAATAAGTGGGTTGGTACAATTCATTATTTTAAGAATAATCATTTTGTGTATCCATCAGAGAACAACAATAACAACCGAACCGTTTTTATTTCTGTAGAAATAATTTTTTAATTTCTAGTTCGAACGGAGTATTATTAAATTATTCACAAAATATTTGTATATAATTCAAGATCAAAAGTAATTCAACAAGTGTGAGATTGACAGATTCGGTTTTATTATGTCAATCAATCGAATTTTTAATACTATAAGGAATATTTTAATTTTATGTGTAAACCTAGATATAGCAATATGAAAAACTTTTTTTTTTTTATTGCCATTTTATTAAAAAAATCAACCATATACTATTATACCTCTAAAAAAACTAGCATCATTTATTGTTTAAGAATGCATTTGTATAATGTGTAACTTGTAAAAAAGTGTATCTTTTTATTATAAATTACTAAGTTATAAAATAAATTTTTACATCAAACCTTTCGATTCATAATTATACAACTATATAAAAATAGAAATAGCCAATTCATTGCAAATTGAAATCAATGTGCAAGAGATCTGTTGCACTTGTTAATTTTTTTTATAAATTTTTTAAGTGTTATAGACAATATGAAGTTATGAGAATTCGACACAAATCAAGATAATTTTTCATTTCATTTATTATACACAAGTTAAAAAATACATCATATTTTTTAATATCTAAGCATTAAAAAATGTGTTTAATATAAAAATCGTATTTTAGCTCTTACAATCATAAACTTTCGCGTGTTTCGTATTTACAGGCATAAAATTAGAAAAATGTCATAACTTTGTTAGATTGTGCTACTAAAAGTCTTTTTTTACATTCACAATTTTAATATTTTTATCATAACCTTCTTTTTTACAATCTAAATGGCAAGGTAAACTTTTGTACGCTTTGTGCGCTTAATTACCATATTTTTATATAATATCATTGCTCTGTTATTGTAAAAATTAGTAACAAAAGTTATTTGATCGTTGTGCATGTAATATTTATCATTGGTACAAAACTGTATTAAAAATACTTTTTTTTTCTACTAGTGATGCACACCGTGAAATAGGTACTTATATATTTCAATAGTATATAACGTTGTATGAAGTAAAACAATATTTTGAACATAGAACTGTTGAAAACTATCTTTAGAGATTAAATCATCATCATTGTCATGATACATTGTATAAATTGTAAAACATAAGTTTAAATAAGTAAAGTAAGTAAAGAATTAATTTAATATACGATAAACTAGTCAAGCTTATATAGTTTCAGTTATCTTTGTATTTTCGATGATTATCGGTTTTGTCATGCATTCTGAATGAGTTTAATATAAGCTTTAAAATAATGCATCTAATTATATTTCATCATTAAGAAAGTTGGTGTTAAGCGGATATTATTATTTAGCTGCTTAAAATTGTGTAAAATCGTGCATATCTATAAAAATTAATTTTTTTTTAACTTTATATAAATTTTAACCAAAATATAGTTCCGAGGTTCTCAATCAGCCATCCTTTCCATCAGTTTTACGAATATACTTTGATTCTTACCGTCATGCAATTGTCTTGTGTTATAAAAATATATTACTGGAAAGGCTATTGTTGAATTGCATCTTTGTCTATTCAGTTTTAAGAGTAGTAATTGCTATTTCACCATTTAACCAACCACTGATGAATCGTATAATTCCCACAAAGCAGTTCTAATTACTATTCTCTTAACTGACTAAGCCACAGCTACTTAGGTTGTTTGCTATGATGATATCAGTAATAGCATCGAACACAAATTGGATATTATCTGTATCTGTGGCGCACGTGAGGTGTGTATACATTTGTTTTTGTTCTTTGCGCTTGTTCAGATCCTCAAACTTCATTTGTATATAGGCAGTACACTCCTCAAAAGTGTTTTGTCCCTTATATTCTGGGAAACATACTGTTAGTGGACTTTTAAAAATTTTTTCTGCAAATAAATCTTTTTTGTTTAGAAACAGAATAATAGATGTATCCACGAACCACTTGCTATTGCAAATAGAATCAAACAGTTTCATCGATTCAATCATGCGATTCATTTCTTCGTCTTCTGCAAGTACCAAATCATATTCACTTAAAGCAACGCAGAATATGATTGCAGTGACATCTTCAAAACAGTGAATCCATTTTTTCCTCTCTGATCGCTGACCACCAACATCGAACATCTTAAAATGCAATCCCTTGAAAGAAAACCGTGATTCGACAATTCCTGTAGTCTTGATTCTAGTTTTTAAGACATCTTGCTGAGTGGGGATGTAGTTTGGCTGTGTTATGCGATCCAAGGCATTTAAATAATACGCAGCAGAATCATTCAGCTGATATTCACGACTGCGGGTAAGGCAGTGCTGAACACCAGCATCTTGCCATAAAGCTTTCATCAATTGTACTAATTCGTTGTTCAATTCTCCCTCTTTCAGAGATAATGCAATGGTAAAAAATTGTCTTGCTACATTTGCATTGTTAGAATCCGCAAAATCTACTTTCAGCTGACCCATAGCACGAATGATTGCCATCAAGCTTTGTATGGTATTACTATGAACAACAGACTTGAATTGTTCACGTTCTTCTGAGCTGTAACCAGTCTCGTGGATAATTTTCATTTGCTTGACTATGGTAGATTTTCCAGATTCTCCAGCTCCAAGCAAAAGTAATTTGACTTCATTTGCAATTCTTTCTCCTTCGGCTCGGAGACTCTTGTCGATTTTCTTTGATCTTTCTACTGCTGCTTTTTCACCATTAGAACTAGCTGCACAACCCATTTTGACTTTCTTTCTGAAAAATAAACACTGTTATAAAATACAGGTGATCAAATTTTTATCACAAAACTAAAATAATTAGGAGTGCAAAAATTAATATTTAAGTTTACTAAGTTTACTAAATTAAAATTGAGTTCTTAAATTTTCATTTTAATACATCCAATAAGTTAGACAATGAAATGGATAATACACTAGTAGATAAAAACGATTCATTGTCCAAGTTTGACAAATGTTCTATTTATTAATAAGTAATAATTATCATTTTTGAGAACATACTTTTTGTTTATATAGAATTCAACATAAAAGTATTAAAGGCAATGAAGTTGCGAAAATTTGGATTTGCTACATGATTTGTTAATGGTAAAATTTTAATCAAAGATCTAGAAAACGTTGAGGAATCAGTTGTTAAATAAATAGACAATACTAGACAGACTTATAAAGTAAGTATTGCACATTTGGCTTATTATTTATGTATTAAAAATCAATTAGTAAATTAAAGTGAAAGCCATTAAAGTTGCTTTCTAATTTCTAATATTAAGATAAGCATGTACAAAATTTTCAATGTTGCAACAGAATGATTTTTCGAAATGTATTTGATAGCATAGCCACGATTCAACAAAATTAAAATCCTTACTAATTTGGGGACAAAATCCAATATACCGTGCACTTTGTAGAATGTACTAATGAAGACCATGAAGCATAGTTTTTTTTACCATAACTAGGCAGTCTAAATGTATACTCCATTCGTGATTGAGGCAAGCAGTTCTTGCAACATGAGTCATAAGTACGTGCATACTCATGTGTGAACAAGAATTTTATTTTTGCATGTGAGGAAAGAAATGTTTTTAAAATATGATTCTACCGTTCAAACATGATAAAAAAAAAAATACTTTAGGATGGTCAGTTGTACACAGAAATTTGTTGGCAAATAAAAAACAAAAAAGAACATTTGACATAAATCACTTGGCAGAAATAATTGTTACATGTTAAAACAAATGACTAAAAGACAACTGACAGTGCTTCCCTGGACTTACCGTTGATCAAGAGCAGCTTGGAGTGGAAAAAGGTTAGCTCCAGAGGTCCGGCACAACTGAAGGCCAAATGATATGGACAAAAGTAGATAAATGTCCGCTTTCCTTATCAATGAAAACTGCGGAAAAGCAAATTACACTCACAGGATATGCAGGTACCGAAAGATTACGAACATCCGTGGATATAAAAGGCACTTGGAAACTGCACAAACATATCGGGGGAAGAGAGGGGGGAGGGAAAAACAGAAACAAGCGAGTGCGGTGATTTAACTCTTATCTTATCTGTACTTATATGTGCGACCATATAAGTATAGGTCTCTGTTGTCTCGGTGTTTCAATCTCGCTCGGGTCTTGGCTTGTGTGTGCCTTCTCTCTCTCGCTCTGCGCGTCGACGCCCGTGAACTATCGGTAATATCGAGTTCTACATAAATTTGTGTTACCAACAGGTTTAATGAAGGTTTTTGAAAATGATTTGACCGTTCATGAAAAACTAATTTATATGTATTTTCATGGGTAATAGTCGAAATTCAGACCTTGTACTCTTATCACACAGTTTTAACAAATTACGTATGTATGATAAACAACGAAATTTTATTTACTTCTACCGTATGATAGATCTGCTTTTATATTTGTTTCGACAGAAAACTACTTGCTCACTAATTTTTATTTTTTTTATTTCTACATGATGAATAATAAGTTTCTGTTCATGCAATCGTATCATTTTTAACATAATTACAGCTGTGATTATCATTGAATAAAATATTGCTACAAAAAAGTCTCTAAAAAATAATTTTGCTAACACAGGTTACAAATTTTTTGAACGCCAAAAATAAACTTGAAAATACTATGTCTTTATTAACTGTATTTCTGACATTATTCTTAGAATTAAAAAAATTTTCCGTTTAGTTTACTGTTAATCTACTGTTAAAGTTACAAAGTTAAAACTAACAAGCCAAATATATGTACGTACAAGTATAAACGAAAGTACATATTTTAATGGAATTCAACAAATAAGCCATAGTATAATTCGAATGGCTTGTATTAAAAAGTGTCAAACAAAAATTAGTGTATAATTTATCCTCAAAGTTATAACTTAGGCAATATTTGTTTCTGAATCCACTTCTATCAAAGATAAAAACTAGTTAATACTGTTAATTTTAGATTTAGATTGTTCGAATTGTCATTTTTTTTTTTTTTTAACACTTCTTTGATCAACTTACTAATAACTATGTTTAGAATATGTGCTAGTTATTTTTACACTTTATGAGAAAAAAAGAGAATAAATCACCATTTAGTTTATATTCATTCATGTTATTGAACCTGCAAACGCATTTTTATATTTCACTAAAATACTCATAAATTGGCTTTAAATTAAAAATATCTAAAATAAACATCGATATTCTGTTGCACATGTAATTAAATAATCGTACCTAGGCACAAGCACATTCTAATAGCACAAATTGGTACGTTGTCAAAAAACTGTTGTATTATTATCGAAAAGTCAGCTATCTATTTATAATAATATTGTTGAAAAATTTGTAACTTATTCTTACAAATTCTCATTTTGTTCACGTATGCTACACATAAATTAATTTTTCATGATTGGGACAAACTTATGCAATTATTAGACGTGTAAAGTACAAACATTTGAACATGAAGTTAGTCAAATGAAAAAATCTTTAACTTTAAATTACAAACTATATACTCACAATAGGACTAATAAGGTAACCATACAATTTTATCATCTAAAACGTAAAAATTTCCTAACGATTGACTGTTAGGAACATTATTAACATAGAAGAATTCAATCTTATAATTACCGTCACAATAAACTATCTATAGTTTTAAAAAAATCTATAAATAGGCATCTTTGTCCAGCAGATTGAATAGGTCACATCTCACTGTTGAAAATTAAAATTCTGCTTATAACAATGAATTTGCTAAAAAACACGATCTTGGTAGCTTGTATCTGCTACAGTAGAACTGGGTTTCGTCGATCCTGTAGGCACTGGATGATGTGGATGACGCATGTGTCCTGCTCTTCTCGGTGGAGCTAAATATTCAAACATACTCTGAGTATGTTGGGCCAACATTTTACTGAGATCACAAGGCATTGGATCAGTCCAAAAAAAATCGTGATTTAAAGCTGTGTCAGAATCGAATCTTTTGCTGGGATCCAAAATCAGCAATTTGTCCAACAAATCGCATGCATAGGCATCTTTAACATAAGGTCTTAGCCTTTCTTTCACCTGTAATAAAATTTTTTTCTCCGTTATATTATTTTAAAATATTGACTCTTAGAATGTGAGAATATTTTTTAAATAACATACTTTTCGTTTTTGGCCCTGAATTAATTCCATTTTATTAAATAAGTCTAATTGATCTACTCCCGGCCAAACATCAGGCGTTATGGAACCACAAAGTTGCGATATAAGAGTCAGCTGCTGTTGCTCTGTATTTCCTTGCATTATTGGTGATCTAATTTTCGTACAAAATGATGCATTTAATGTTACACCTTCTTGTTTTATACGAATTCTTTATTAAAAATATAAATACCGAGTCCACATCTCGGCCATTATGCAGCCAGCACCCCATAAGTCAACCGGTGGCCCATAATTCCTGTCACCCAAAAGTAGTTCTGGTGGCCTGTACCATAAGGTCACAACTCTGTTGGTGTAACGGTTTGCTTGGCCGCCTTTGTTTATACTAAATGCTCTGGCAAGTCCAAAATCGGCCAATTTCAGTATACCATTTTTTGTTATCAAAACATTTGCTGCTTTCATATCTCTGTGTAAAATCTAAAATGAAGCATATGATAAACTGCAAACGGTTATAGAAATAAATTGCCATTAAATGTAAGTTTAATATGTACAAACCTTATTGCTATGTATATAATACAATCCGTTTAATAATTGTTGCATAACCTTTTTTATTTCTCCTAAGCTAAACTTTACATTCACATTTGAAAGTAAACCGGCAAGGTCGTGCTCACAAAAGTCAAATATAAGATAAAATGTTGAGCGATACTTATTATTTTGAGTTGCTGCAAATACAAGAAAAGTCGATATAAAAATAAAGTTAATCAAACATATGGATTGATTCATCAGAAGGTTTTATTTATACACTACTGAAAATTGTAACCTAAACTATCAAGGTACCTTTTACATAACTATTGGTTTTATTTCAGTGAAAAAAAATGTTAGGAGTATAATGAAGAACATTAGTCATAAAATAACTCATGCTTCCAGAAGTGGATGAATAAGATACCTTTAGTCCTGCATATTTCTATGAGATTGACTATGTTTTCATTTTTCAAAAGTTGCAATATTCGAATTTCTCTAAGTGCCGTGATGGGAAACTGAAATGTAAAACAAGAATGTTGTATCACTCATAAACAAATAAACAACTAGTGTACACAGTAAAATCTACTTACACCTTCTCTTTCGTTTTCCATCAATACCTTTTTCATGGCAACATACCTTTTATTGTTCAACTTATCGCGAGCCTTGAAAACTTCCCTAATTAACAAGGATAAATGAAAGAAATTAAATAATTTGAAGAATAACATGAAAAATCACGCTAACAAAACATCAAGGCTCACCCAAAAGTTCCTTGCCCTATTTTGGCAACTTTTTCATATTTTGATGATTCATCACAAAATGGAAAATTAAACTCTTCCAAGTACTTTTCTTTCTCTTTAATGTTCATCTTATTCTATTTAATCACTCTCCATTCACACACAACCCACTGTATGTTTTTTGCCTTACAAATTAACTACTGCGAAAGTGCGAACTTGGCACTCAAAATGAGGTTAGAACATGTTTACCATCGTACTGTACGACATGGCGACTGAAAGGGTGTTAGCAAGATGTTATCTCAACATTTTGAACTGAAGCGCTCATTGCCAGAGATATTATCTCTGCCATTACCACATGGAAATTCGCATGAGGCGATAAGTTTTGAAAGCTGCGAATAAGAGAGTGTGAGCTCTCCCTGTAGAAGCTGTAAGCAAAAGCCTTTTTCTCTTAGCTTCCAAAATCCATCACCTGCATGTAAATTTACATTGTCAATTATGGCGCTTCAGCTGAGCTCAAATTCTAATTTTCCCCATATCGGCGTTGTCAGTTGTTTCCACAATGGCACCATAGTCTCCAGGAATAGGAATTTATGGAATGGGAAAAGAGATGGTCAACGCCATGGACAGTCGTCAAATGTGAAGCAGAATAATTTTGTTTGTGTGTAAACAAAAACTGTTTATCTCACCTGGTTAGAAATATCCATAAAATTAATACACTTGTAACGTACGATAGTAAGACACTGTAGAATGAATATAAAAGAGAAGGAAAAATATATTGAAGAGTTTGAATTTCCGTTTTGCGATGAAGCCACAAAATACGAGAAGGTTGCTAAAATCGGCCAGGGAACATTTGGGTTGGTTCTGTGAATAATTTTCTTCTTGCAATGATTATTGTTGAACCTTTTTTTTTTAAATCGGTTTTGCATGCTGTTGTTTTTTTTTAGTGAAGTATTCAAAGCACGCGATAAAGCGAATCCCAAGAGATTTATCGCCATGAAAAAGGTTCTAATGGACAATGAGAAAGAAGGTGTAAGTTTTGATTGTGTTATTTGAAATTTAATGGGAAATGAGAGTCCATTTTTTTTAATGCCAAGTATCACAGTTTCCTATTACAGCCTTGAGGGAAATCAGGATATTGCAACTTTTGAAAAATGAAAATATTGTTAATCTAATAGAAATCTGTAGAACTAAAGGTGAGAATGATGCTACCGTCCACTTAACCTGTATAATGGCTTTTTATGATCTTATTATAAGCAGAATTATTCTTTTTTTTTTTTTTTTTTTTTTTTTTTTTTTTTTTTTTTTTTTTTTTTTTTTTTTTTT